GGACACCGCACATACTTTTTCCCAGTTGGAGGATTCTTAATTGGCTGCAAGAAAAATTGCATTTTATAGTGATAGTATTTTATACATTGCAATAAAAACATCCTTTCGGGTGATAAAGCTAAGCTATGCCTCTGAGCTGTTTCAATACTGATGGTGTCCATAGAAATCAATAGCTTCACTTCTGATCCATGAAATATGTATTAGCTCATCAGTCAGCTTCAGTCCATGCTCTGTGTACTGGTGAAAGATATTCCAACAAATTTGTCTTCTTTGATCTAAACAAAATGGTGGAACAAGTTCAAAACATTGTCCCAAAGGTTGGTGGTTTAGTTCCAGCAAATTGACATTGTGCCCTTGGGCCAGACACACCATCCTTTGTGCCCTTGTACATAAGTTAGTAGGACTGGTGGTGGTCAAAGCTGCACCAGGGCAGCTGTGGCTAATGATGAAGGAGAAAATTAATTTAAGAAAGCAATAATAAATATTATTTTAACAAGTTATTTAAGTACACATAGTGAAATAAACCGATTCATTTAAACTAACTGAAGTCTTACACATAGAATCAGCCATAGAGCAGCTCACCGTAGCCTCGTTGCAGACGGTGCACTTGACCACGTGCTGGTGCAGTTTGCCATCGAGATTAATGAGTGATTGACAGACACGACAGTTTATGACAGGCACCCCACCGGCATCTGGACTCGCAATGGCTGTATATGGAGGAGGTAGTTCGGCTTTCAAAAGACAAAAAACACAAATAAATGGTAAATTATTAAATATAAGGGTTTTATAAGGGTACATCGCATACATTGACATCCTTATATTTCTTTGTGATAATCTACAGTGTCTGCCTACTACCATGTTTTCGGTCAGTAAGAGTAAGTTAAAATCCATCGGTAGTCTTTACTCTTTACAAATAAACATCTAAAATTAGTACAAGTACAGAAAATATTTCATAAATAAGCTTAAGTTTACAGTACAATATAATAATTTAATAATAAAAATGTTAAAACTTTCTAAGTATAGTCTTAAGTATTTGTTCTTTAATCCTGTCCAAAACTGTCCATTCAGATTAACTGCTTTTGGTCTAGTTCAAACTCATGACTTCATGTACACAGATCTCAAAACACATGTGCCTGTGGTGAAGACAGAAACTACTACAGTGGAACTGGGAGAGGAACAATGGAGCTCTAGGACACCAGACTGTACCATTCTTTCACTGCCAAGCTCCTACACAATAAAAAGAGCAAACACTGAACCATTTCCATTAAAAAATGAATTGTACATTTTCTGACAGCATATGGTTAAACACATTTAGGAGCATTAACAATTGAGAAAGATGAAAATTAGAAGACTTCTTAAATTTACGACCAAATAATAGTTTTTTCATACTTGCAATAATCAAATGTGTGCAATGTGACTTTAATTTATATCAATCAATAAATCATGAGCAGGCGTGGGATGAGAATAAATTCCAGAAGATTAAACAATTTTCTTTCAATTTACTGTGCTTTTTATAATATATTTCTTTTCAGGAAAAGCCTTACTTCCATGGCAAATGATTACTATCATTATTGGGCTGCCATTTTTATAATTTGTTCTAAAATGTATTATTTGATCGTTTTCAGCTTGATTAACACCAAAAAAGTCCCAGGAATTCACTTCCAGGTCAGGGGAGGAGGTGGCAAGTACAGTCTTGTGTGCACAGTATAATCCAGTATTACCACTTGTTAATCAGTCTACATCCCTTGAGTTTTAATATTTCAGGTAATTAGTCTTAACAAAAACGTAAGGGTGGTTGTAAACATATTATGCAATTTTCTGATTTATGCTATAATGTTTCACAAACTTATACCTAGAGTTGTGTTTATTTCATTCACACATGTTTAACACATAAACCCTGCCCAAAATATACAACCCCAAATTTGTATAATATAAAGAAGTCAAAAGGTTACAAGACACAACACAAAAGCCAGAGGAGTTGTGTCTGGGCAGTTGGGAGCCTAAATTTATATTCTGTCCAGTTAAGGAAAAAAAAAAAAAAAAACAGTTAACCCATTACTTCATGAGTCATCCCATGCATCTTTCAGCCAAAACAAAACAGTATTGGCCAATCACAGCTATTCCCAATCCCCCTCTCATGTTTTCTCCTGGAGGGAAACTGTATACAGCTGCTATATGTGTTGGCTGAGTGCCCTTTGGTTCGGAGGTAAGACGAGAAGACACTAGTATGAGAAGACAGGCCAGAGCATGGACCAGGCACCATCACATCCGACTGAACCAGGTCAGGCTACAATCGTATTTACAAATATACAGTATATTAATATATATAGATATATATACATATATAATATCAACAATACAAAATGGCAGGGGTGCACGTTAAAAACACTTTCCAAAAGCAACAACTATTTGAAAGACTGCTTAACTATAATTGCATATAATTCTGAACATGTTTTAAAAGGTCTAAACTACAGGGTAAGTGGATTTTAATATGATAAGACACAATGGAAACAGGATAGTCTGACCATTATCTTTAATAATTACAATTATGTAATTGCCAGTGCAATTAAAACTAGTGAAGTATTGTACTAAAGCATACATTTTAGGTATCTGTACTTTAATTAAGTAGATTTTAAAGTAAATACTTTTTACTTTTACTTTATTACATTTGAGAGAATCTGTACTTCCTACTCCACTACATTTTTGAACTGGACTGAAAACTAAAAGTATTTTTTTATTATAGTTCGAGACCTGCAGAAAAGTCTGAGGGGTTTATTTTCAGCATGTTCATAGTTTGAGCAAACAAACAAAAATAAAAAAAAATCTATTCAGTTAGTTCTGCTGAACAAAATTCTGTAAAAACTTGGATCAAAATCAGTAAATAAAAAATACTTTTACTTTTTACTCTTTAGGTACATTTTTATGTGCATTTATTTATGTACATTTTTTTCATGTGATCCTTTCTTTGAGTAACAAAATTCAGTATTTCTTCCACCACTGGTAATTTGTGGTCAATGGTGAGAAGTAACTTAAAAAGACACCTATCCGAGTGTAAATCCAAATTCCAACAAATGTAAAACATTCTTATACTACAGCATAAATTGGTGTTTTGCTCAGTTATATGTATGCTGTAATGGTTCTAAATAGCTTTTGCTTAAATGACTATTGACTGTACAAGTGGGTAATTTATTAAAAGTTCAATAATAAAACAACAGTTCTATAGCATTCAAGAGGCTGTGTGCTTGTTTAATCTGACATCTATACAACAACATACGTATAAAAAGGTGTGGATAGACTTTTTTACACAATCAGGACTATTGATCTGAATAATATTAAAACCACATACAACGGTTATGAGACAACAAAAATAAGAGATTGCTAGTAGTTGCTTGTGGTGTGATTAAATTAAATTAAATTAAAGGGTTGCTGTGCAGAAAATATTAAAGTCCAAATGTAATGAATCTCCTTAAAACCTTTGGAAGCTGCCAAGGCCTCTACAACAGAGCTGCTAAACCTCAGCAGACATTCACTTAGCCATATTCTGGCACTTTGTCTTTTGGTGGTTTCTTGTAACTTTCTTGTGCAAATGTTACATAGACCTGTCCCGATAATTACTATATCAATTTATAGTTCAATATATAATAACTGGAACAATATATTTGTTAGCTCAAAATTTTAAAATAAGTGGGAGATTTTTTTTTTTTTTTTTTGTGATGCAATACGATTAGAGCAGAAGAAGGTTGAATAAGTAGCTTCTATGGCCAATTAATGTTTCATTCTCCTATTTATTTGTTGCAGCTCAGGCCTTTAAATTATATGGTAGATTTTTAAACAAATCTTACTGGGATTATCCTGCTTTACGGTTATCGTGTTAGAGACAAAAAGTAGTTTCAGTATCACTATTTATTATATTCCTCTGTAACAATATATTGTGCTTCAAAATTTGCTATTGTGAGAGGCCTAATGTTACGTTAAAATGTATTTGATGATTATTTTCAACAAAATTCCAGAAGTGAGTGAGCTGGTCAAAATGTTACAGGGAAAGAGTAGTCAACACACCACTCTTTAAAAATCAGGATGGATAATAAATAATAAAGTGCATAACTGTAGGTTTTCTGTGACTCCTAGTGTGTGCTGAGGTAAACATATTATTGACTAATGTATGTGATGTTTTGATGAGATTTGTGCAGAGGCGTCACAGTAACACTAACCTAAAATCTAAACCCTCTCTTCCTCTTTCATCCTATTTAATTCTTATGAAGATAGGGTCAATATAAGACAGAAAATATTGACACATAGGCCTGTCTATACACATGGACATAAACAATAGACTACAGTTATATTTTATGGAAAAATTGATGACAGTCTGTTAGTTTGCAATTCAGACTGAACATTGTCTTTAAAAGGTCAATAGCTATCTGCTTCAGTCAGTTTATAAACCTAGTTTATTGGCGTATTTATTACTAGATGGGCCTAATATTAAGCCTGTGTATTAAGTATGTGACGTGGAATACACAAAGAATTGCCTTTTTCTGTGTAAATCTCAGCTCACAGTGGCAGGCCCTCTCATCTTATGTCTACTGCTCCAGTTCTCAATACAAGCTCCACCTTTTTCTTAGCGGCTGATCGAATTCACGCATTCACGCTGATGGCTTTTTGTCTGCTCTGTTGCAATTAATTTACGAGCAAACTGGGCTCAATTCGATACGCCCAAAAATGATTCAGCACGAACACATGCAGAGGCAATAATATCGCTTTGCCGAGCTACATGCGTTGCGTTATACCTCGGGGGCTGGAGTCCTGCAGGTACGGAGGCGCAGTGGGGGTCACATTCTCGGAGTTGGGGCCCGACAAAAGCGGAGAGCGCTCGTCCATGCCGTCGGAAGCCATGTCGACGAGCCCAGATCTCGGTCAGATGAAGCCCCTCGGAGCAGAGCAGCGGCCAGCGGATGGTTGTTGTTGGTGCCGAGCTCGAGTCCAGCAGCACCGTTGACGTACAGCGCGATGGGCGGGGCTTGGGAGTGACCACGCCCCTCCACGATACATATCCTTACTACCCTCGAGATACTGTATGTATTGTGTCTATCCATTATTCATTTAGGCCACGAATTTAGCAAGTTAAATTTGTTATAATCAGTTATATTACAAGTAAGTAAGTTGTATAGGAAAGCCTACAATATGATGCCGTTTAAAATATGGATTATCTCCAGGACCTATTGTAACATTTATTTATTTACATTGGCTGTATGTCTTACAACTTTATATCTTAAGATTGTTTAACTCTATGAAGTATTCTGTGACTTTGTCAGGGCGTGAAAAAGTAGAGGTCCTGTATTACCAGTTTGTGACACTAGATGTTACTAGAGGACTGTGGGAAGCCATACCAGTTGCTGCGTAGTTGTAAACGGTCTATGATTGTAATGCATTGGATTTTTCTTTCAGAGACACACAAAATGTCATATTATTATGTTTTTATCAAATGTTTTAAGGTGGAAAATTAGAAAATTTTTAAAAACTGCGTTTATCTTGTGGATGCTACAGTGATAGCAAAACTGACATAATAATCTTAATAATATAATTTAAACTCAAATTTTGTCTTCTTTATGTGCGAGTCCTTCTAATCTCTGTTCCTCTATCAACCACAATCTCTATGACTGTTTCAGGTTTTAATGGATCAGTAGCCTATAGGCTTCTGCCACCATGCCCAGCACAGCACGGTTTAACAAAACATGTGATCTTTTAGACATAACACTGATACACAACATTAACTTACATCTTGAGTTTGCATTGCCAATGTTCAGTTTTCCTCTAAGCTTATTCTGCAGATTGTTTGTGCCAAAATGCCTCCCATTCCTGGGTGCTTATGTCAGAAAGTTTGACTGCCTCAGGACACTTAAACCAATCCATGACTACTCTATCAAAGTAGTGCAGATGTGAGGCAATGATTTCTTTTAACAGATGGTTATGATGTTATTATGGACCATAATCTTTGGTGGTATTTTTGCCAAATGGGAGGGCGGTTGGTCATGTTTAGGACATGGCCCATAAATTTGAAGGCATCACACCTCCTTTCTTTAAAACTCCATTCACAAAGTTGTAGTAGAGAGGCTGGACTTTGCCGTAAAACAAAAGAACTGAGGGAGGGTCCAGACTCATTTGTGTCCTATACCGTCTGCCCCATCACATTACAATGTACGATTGGGGACTGTTTCTTGGGAGTTAACAGATTTAGATGGAAAATTAGTAAACAGTGATTCAGATTTGAGTACGTGTAAGAGGCTGCAGAAGAGTCATTTTTTCCAAACCACTTCAGGATTCACAACATCAGCACAACTTCTCTCCGCTCTGCAACTGAAGGCACTATAAAAGGTAGATAACCAAATAACTGCAGTAGAAATGTAGGTTTAGGATTGTAAAGGGAGTTGTAAGAATTTGATGTTCATTTGAATAGTTTCAGCAATTAAAGTTTTTACAATTTCAGAAAGAGTCACCTTCCCTTTGTGTCCTTTGTAAACTTTACAACTTCAGTGTCAGATGAATCTCAGGGGAAATGACTTTGGTTCACCACCATCAAATGTCACAGGCTAGATTAAACTAAAGAATGCAATTGTTACATGAATAGTTACATCAAAAGGTCTGTTGTGCTTGTTCAGTGAGATTACGACATTTCTTGTTGGGTTCCTTTGTCTTTTGTCTGATGGCAGCTGATATTGGTTGTTTAGAGTATTTTTTTCTAATGTTTTAAAGAAATCACATTTATGAGTGTGTTCTCTAATTAAAGTGTCTTTGTGTATCTTCTGAGATGCTCTGGTTCTCAGAGAGGGCAGCCCTGCTCTGTGTGAGCTGCTGCCTGCTCATAGGACTATGCTGCTGGGCTGATGACACCGGGCTGTTCCCTGGAGAAGGTTCTGGAGATGGCGACTTTGAGGAATGGGGCTCTGGATCTCCTTTTCTCCATCTGCTCCACAGTTTTCCAGCCGACAGCCCCTTTCTAACAGAGACACCAGGGAAACAGGCTAACTGCACTCAGCGTTTTGTGCTGCCCTCTGCCCCCAGCATCTGCTGGGACCATGTCGCTGGACCAGAGGAGTTCAGTCAGTCTCGTCTGCTGCTGCTGCAGAACAGAGCGGCGCTGCAGGCTCTGTCTGACTCCAGTGGAGTGGAGGAGGGAGGACCCTCATATGAACTCCAGGCCAAAGATGAGGTCCAAGGGATTCACGCAGACCACCAGAGCGGAAACTATGCTAACCATGGAGAAGGTGTTTTTGTCTTTGGAGGAGAAGAGGAGAGAAGGCACAGAACAGGGACTCCTCACGAGGTGAAGTATTTTCATATATAACATATGCAAATATTTTTATATATGACAAACTGGTTTTAATAAAATGTTTCAACACTTTTATAGTAAAAGTAATCTAAAGATGCCCAATTACACAGCCATTCAGTACAGTACAGTACATTCAGTAACCAGACTGTGCTGTGTGTTTTTTGAAACTAATTTCTCAATACTAACATTTAGTGTTTTCCAAAGGCACATCTGTCAATCAGGCTTAAATCTGTGTTTTATTTGCAGCATGAAGGAGCACCTCATCCACACAAGAACTGCCATAGGCGACAGACAAGCTGTGGCATCTATCCTGGAAAACAAATTTTCGGCTCTGGAACAAACTCTATTCAACATCCAACTTCGAATCAACAAACTTGTCCAATAACAATGTCACAGCTGTGTGTTGTTTAATATGTTTCTAATATATGTACATCAATGCTGAAAAATTATTCATCTAAACTAGAAGATACTGATTGTTTAATGGGAAAACACTGTATGATGCAGTGTAATTTCACATTCAAGAAAGTAAACAAATAATAAATATTGCACGTTGAGTGATTTCAATGAGCATAATTGCATTATTTACTATTTGGTTATTTATAAGCAAATATTAAATAAAGACAGGCCAACGTGTCAAAGGGGCAAGGTCATCAGATAGATTTATTGTAATAAAATAAACTAAGAAAACTGTTATATTTTAGATTTTTTATATCAAAGCAAAACAGTAGATGGCTTGTTTAAATCAGCTGGTATACATAGTACACTTAATATTCACATAATCTTCAGGTATGGACATCCAAAGCAGTGTGTCATGTAGAAGCAGAAGAGGTATCCTTTGGTCACACAACTAGAAGTCTGGCTTTATATCAGTCTAGTTAGTCATTTATAAAATACCACACTTTAACTAGAAACAGTAACAACATTTCAAGTGTTTACCAAGAGCCCACACATCTGTACCCCAGCTGTGTGGATCGTACATGATGTCTCCTTTTTAGAGGCCAAGGGAGAGTTGTTAACTTGTTTAATGGCACTGCTACCACAATATTTCCAATTGTAAAAACAAGATAGCCAAGATGTCTTTACATTTCCATAAATTACATTTTTTGTACAGAACATTGTTTCCTTTATACCAGGGTTAATTGGGTTAAGTTACTTGAATATCGTTTGTAAAAATACTGGAGCTACTTCAACGACTGAGAGATGTTATTAATTATTGATTTCATTCAATTTGTTGTGGCAACAATTCTGTACAATATCTGTACTATGTTTAGGACAATATATGTCTGTTCAAGATACATACATTTCAAAGGCAGGAAAAACATGATGTTTATCTTACATACAATTCAAGTGGCTCCACTGTCCAATTTAAAAGTCTGCATCCTCTTCTTTCATTTCTGACAAAGATTTTAAATAGTCTCGCGCCAAGATCTTCTTTGGAAGAATATCTGTTGGCATAATTGTTATTGTTATAAGTGTAAATGAAAGTTGCAATGGACTGTTTGAAAGTGAGCCTTGCCTGTGAGGAAGTGAAAAGTTTCAGTCTCTTCTGCTGTGTTTGCAAGATCACTGTACGACAAAGAGTTGGACTCCTTTCCTGAGCCCTTGCTGAAAGAAGTCACAGCCAAATGCTGCACAAACAGCTCCTGAAACAACAGTAAATGAGACATATGTTCAGTAAATGAGACATATGAGATATGTAAGGCATAAAGTCAAGTCATTTACTACTTAAACGTCAAGGTCAGGCCCACAATACAAAACATAACACAACAACAAACAGCTACATGTTAAATACTGAATTGTAAAAGCAAATGTGATTAATTATGTCACTCAAAATAATATTGCATATTGCAGGTGCAGAGTGTTTAGGTGTGTAATATCATTGTTTATCCCCTTAGAAATACGTTTAGGTTTTAAGATATACTATGTTTTTTCTGGTACTTGGTATTGAATTATGTTTTAAAAGGAACTGTATGTAAGATTTTGATTTAAATTCCATAAGCGTGACCGAACTGTGTTCTCAGATAGGGGGTAGACATAAAATCAAATATAGTTTTAACAGACAAATTACAAAAACAGTGAACATGGCCAAATTGTTGAGATTATACTTTTTTTGGTGTTCTTGGGGTGATGATCCAGTCAGAAAGCAGCATGAGCCTCACGCGAGTCTCTAATCTTAAATGTCAGTTCTAATGACTAAAAAACTGTTGGTTTAAATCTCTCCCTGTATCCCCCACTATATCTCAGCACCTGCAGACAATCATTAATCCATACTTGTGCAGACCATAGACTGCATTTTGTTTGTTCATACAGTATGTGTTGAGAATGAGGAAAACTTGTATGTGTCCTGTTAAGGCACCAGGAACTCATTTCGTTTGTGATTGTTGTTTTTTTTAAATACAGGAGCACGGAATATCATAATTTAATCTTGTAAATTATAAACAACAACAATGATCTAAAAGGCCTTAACAACAGAAATGGGGCCAGTGACTTCAAGTTTAAAAGAACAAAACCTTTAATTTTCTCAAATAATCAGAAAGTACAAAAATGTGGGCGGGGATAGGGGGCAAAGAGGAATAATCTGAGCACCCAAATACAATACGGGATTACTTGTGGATGAATCAATCGAAATACAACTGAGTGATATAGTGATGTAGGAACACCGTTTAAACCAGGGTAAAAGCTGGTTGATTTTTGATATGTCTCCTCTGATGGTTATTATTTACTTTATTTACTTTACTAGCATATCACCAATCACAGGCCACCATTTTAACTCAAGAATAACGAGGCCAACTACAAGCTAATCCCTTGTTGCTGTGTGCTCAGGCTGGAGCTAGCATTGCTCAGTGAAGCGGAGATTTAGCTCCCAAAAGCGGCTATCTTACTGTGGCCTTGGTGGTGAGGAAAAGTGCCTCCTGGTTGATGCTGGAGACATCGGGGGAGCTCTTCATGATGAGTCGGACTCTGGAGATGGGGAGAGAGATGCCCTTCTTATTACTTGGAGACTGGTCATCCTTGTCAGAGTTATTGTGAGACATCTTCATAAAACCCAAAACCACACGGCGCCAGACTCTTGTTTTGAACTGTGACGCAACCCTTTCGCTGTCACGCACATGTTTGACAGTGCTAAGATGCGTCAGCGCCACCTGCTGGACAGGGGTGAGGGGACCATGGCCCTATTTTTCTCATGTTTTTTTGTTTGTTTGTTTTGTTTTGCTTTAGATATCATACATACACAATAAATAATGAATTATGTAATTAAATATGTTTTTATTTGAAATAAATTAGCAGTTGGTTAATTAAATGTTTATTACATGATTTTATACTTCTATGGGCTGACCAGATACAGCGCTCTAATAATTTGCAGTTACAAGAAGAGGTGGAGCTCGAACACGAAGAAGAAGTTTGTGCTGCAAAAATGGCCACGATTTTTCTTTACAATTCTCCAATTATTATTACTTTACCAGAATCACAGTTGCAGGTGTTGTGACCTTTTGTGCTCTATACGTTAATCTTTATTCCTGCGCATCGGTGTTTTCATTTCGCTTTTAAACCTTTGCTAACAGGGCTATAAGTGCATCCACAGTGTATTGTTTATATTTTATTCGTATCGTTATTTTCCGTCTGGGAACAAAATGCCACTCGGGCTTAAGCCATGTTGTGCAGTCTGCAAGACAAACTCTTCGTCAATGTGGAAAAAGGGAAACCAAGGTGAAATACTGTGTAACAACTGCACGGGGAAAAGCAGCAGCAGCGGGACAGCGGGACCTTCCTTGTCCTCCACAACACAACCCAGCAATGGCGGGGGCAAGCAGGTTTGGACCTGTCTCTTTTATTTTTGTAAAGTTCATCATTTTGCTTTCGAGGACGCAGTATTTAACATTCAGAACATTGTGTTTTAATTTAGATCATTGGCAGATGGATTGGGGATAGTAAGCCAATCACTGCAAAATAAGCACAAGTGTTCTGTTATTTCTATTATTATTATTTCTGTGTTATTGAAATGTGCATGTCTGTTTTCAGTCCAAGCAGGAGATTCACCGAAGGTCCGCACGCCTAAGAAGCACAAAGTATAAAGCCCCAGCATCTGAAAAGAAGGTGTCCACAAAAGGAAAAGGGAGAAGACACATATTTAAACTAAAAAATGTAATCAATAAACTAAAGTAGGCACAATGGCATATTCCTTGGAATATCTTACCTGACATTTGTTCTTTTTATTGTTCAGCCAATCAAAGCACCAGAATCAGTTGCAACATTTATAACATCTGAGTCTGTGTTCTACAAGGTATAATTATTTCTCCAAAATGTATTACACATGCAGCAGTACAAAATATACGATTCTGTGTATTTATTTAGGGTGTGTACTACCAGACCGGAGATGTCATCAAAGTAACAGATGAGGAGGATGGAAAACCATATTATGCTCAGATACGTGGCTTTGTTCAAGATCAGTATTGTGAAAAGAGTGCAGCCCTGACATGGTTAATCCCCACTCAGGCCAGTCCAAAGGATCAGTTTGACCCAGGGACATATATTCTTGGTAAATCATTTTGAAGTACATAATTGAGTGTTTGGTAATCTGAGGATTCTTCTGGCTAACATAGCTTGTTAAACTGTTTTTCCTAGGTCCAGAGGAGGACCTGCCCAGGAAGATGGAGTACCTGGAGTTTGTGTGCCATGCGCCCTCTGAGTATTTCAAATCTCGGACGTCTCCATTCCCCACTATTCCCATTCGACAAGAAAGAGGCTACATTTGGACACATATTGGACCAACTCCAGCTCTTACCGTCAAAGAGCCCATCAGTGGTACATGCTGAAAGGATTTACAACAGACTGGATCTATTGTTTTAAAGACATTTCTTTTGTACATTTATGGAAAGTAAACCCATTTTATACTGACTGAAAGGACAGGATTTGTAGTTTTTATACAAACAGCAACTAACAACGTGGAGCACTATTAAAGAAGAATAATTCATTACAATTAGATTTTTGTAAATATCAATAAACTTTCCCTTTAAAGTAATATTTCCTTTGATTTGTCCATATAATTTATAGCTTTGTAGTTGCTAACTGGTGCTTATTTCATGTTAATATTGAAGAAATCTACCTATAAAATGAATGTGACATTAGACTACTTAATGCAGTTCTTGCAGTTGGAATAAGTTTAACACTCAAGTTATTCAAATATTCTGGTCTACTGTTTAGTTTAGTTTAGTTTTAGTCTTTATTTGAAGGGACATGTATAGGGATATTAAGATAGTAAAAAAACTGATGATTTTAGTCCCTGATTTACAGAATAAAGATGTTCAAGATGCTCTGTAGGTCTTGGTTTGTGTTACAGATGCTTTTGTGTAAAAACTACTATACCTTTTAATTGTTTTATGCTTTATTTCTATACCCAAATTTAAAAGGGGGAGCTTTATTAAGTGTAATTTGAAACCTCACAATCCCCCCAAAGCAGGAAGTACTCAACAGATGACATCTTGAACAGCCTGCGCACTCTTGGATTATGCCCTCATCTGAAATCCCCGTGAGCACGTTTGGATAATAGTAGTATCTCGTCCACTGCTTCCCATGGAGTGTAAATTCTAGCTTATCGTTTCATTTCCAAGGGAAAGGAAGAATTGCTGTTTGTGGAAAAGCACCATGGGAAAACTGCACTCAAAATTCTGTAAGTTTGTTATTTTTCTATATAAAATAATTTATCTAATTTTCAGTGTAACTGTAAATTCTCATAAATTCCTTTTGTTTAACTGTTCAGCCTCAAAATGCAGACAGAGCCCTGAAGGTATGGCACTTATCTTTACAGTTGGATGGTGTACTTTGGAGTTTCAAAATTATTTTTACTCTTTATAAATATTTTCTTTATAATAGGTGGTGTTCTTGTGTCCAATTTATTGAACGGGCAAAGGGAGGTGGAACTCATCCCTAGCAATAAAGAAAACCTGTCCATGGTAAGAATTGGAATATGTTTATGATAATTTCTCATAAATGACTTGATGTTCAAAACAGGCAACTAATAGAGTTCCCATTGACAGACTGCTTACATGTTTTTTTCAGTGTTTTAATTGAACACAATGACTGGTCTATATACGCAAGTGCCTCAAACTCAAACACATTTCAGTGAGGTCTTGTTTGGCACTAAGGAAAATAACACATGACATGAAAGTATTTTTAAGGCTGGTCAAAAAGCAGCAGTAGCAGCTCCAAACCAGACTGGCTTCATCTTACTTGGCCAGTTTTAGGATAAACACTATTTGCCCACATCACATCCAGGTAGTCGTCTATTTATTCTTCCACCCCTTTCCTCCACTGACTCTATAAAGAGACTTTGGAGTTTGAAGTGCAACTCAGCCGCCCCCTCCAAAACAGCAGACTCTTTATGCCCACATCTGGTACCACTTTTCCCTAGAACGGCCAGACACTGACTGAGGGGCTTAAGGAGGCTATAATGGATCAAATGTAATGGTCCTTTGATTGTTTCACATGGCATTAATTGAAATAAAGATGAAGTCACTGGAGGGGGTTTAAACATACTGAAACATATACTTTATACTGTATTTGTGATGGATTCTTATTTGCTTGTAGTATTAGGGAAATGTCTAACACTGCCAGATGGTTTTAAAAGCTTGTGGGGAGTTTCTTAAAGCTTGTTAAAGCCAGACTGTTTCCTGTCATTAGATTTTCCAAATGTATGAAGTTTGGCATTTTGCAGACATTGTTAATGTTAAAATAAGTAATTTGTAGGAGCTGCTTCTAGATTGTAGCGATATCAAGTAAGATTTTACTTCAAACCAAACCACTTATCTGTTTACTACTTTTAAGTGGGAATATTGAGCATCAAAGCATCACAGTCAATGGAGCATGTCCGACGGAGAAGGGCGTGGAGGGGAACTGTTTGTGTTTGGTAGATGTTGACAAATGGCTGCATTCCTAGAGCGCCTTATCTGACTTTGTTTCAGATGATTTTGAAATGAGTATCTTGGATTTGTGGAGTAAAATATTTCTTACAATCTGGTGGCTAATGAACTGGCATGGCTCTGTGACATTTGTAAAACAGGCTGGCATGAAATCAAGACCTATTACATTTTGGAAAAACACATGTAATCACTCAAACCCAGAACTAAAAAATAGCTTCAAGAGCATTTGGTAAACCTAAGGTGGAAAAATATTGAATTTGTATATTTACTTAATATATCTTCTCTTTATTTACAGAACATGCACAAGGATGTACACAGTAATAATTACCTACTGAATGGTAAGTAGTAACTGAATAAACATTTTAAACATTTCTGCCTGCAGTATGTACAAGTATGTATTTTTTTAATCGTTTTAGTTACTCTACCACCAGAGCAAGGGCTCGGCAAGAGTCAATATTCAAATAATGAACACACGAATTTAGCTGTAAGTATAATGTTTATATGATGTTTGTAAAATGTGACGTAATGTAACAACTTATTATTTATTTGGAACCAGGAGAGAAACACATTTACTGACGATCCTAAAAAAGAATGGCTGTTCATGTTGTGCAATGAAAGTGGCAATTCCAACAAGGAGGTAAATTATTTTAGCAAAAAGTGTTTATTTAATTAATTGTAATTGTTTACACAATAATATTTTTTTGTGAAGGATATGTCCAACTTCTTGCATGGAGTATGTAAGGCAATTGATGCCTCAGTTAAACCAGCTACAGACAGCACCGCAACATTGAAGATCAAGATAGTCTTAAGTTCTTCTGATGACCAAAACAATGGTAACTTTGGTAAACTATAAGATACATGGGATAAACTGTTAAACCAGAGGTTCTGGTGGTTCTGTCAAAACGTTAGTTACAGTAATGTAATTGATCATATGTTAATACAATGACAAGATTATTAAATTACTTTATTTAGATTTGAGTCCATGTGAGGAGACCAGAAGACCCATGAGAAGACTGTACTGTGTAGGGGAAAACATTGAGCGCAGAAACCACTACCTGGATCTTGCTGGCATTGAAAATTTTACCTCAAAGTTTGATAATAAAGGCAAGTTATGGAATGATTATTCTTTCTTTAACAAGTGAGCCCATGAACCTGCACACCTTTCAATGTATTAAAACGTATCAATTTATTCTTAACAGACTGCACCCATCCGAAACCTCCCACTCATCATCACCATCTTGTGGCAACAGTTGAAAACTGCATGCAAATCTCTCAATCTACGCATAACTCCCAGAAAACTAGACCAGTGTGGAAAGAGGAAAAGTCCGGCAGATCACATGGGCTGCATCCTTCATCTTTGTGTCGTCATCATTCCTCCAGCTGCAAGCATAACACAAACAGACCTGTTCATCGCTCCCATAGCAAAAGGCTGCGACCACAGGATCACGTGTCACCTCGGAGACCAATGTGCTGTTATAACCAGGGGGGGAAAGACTGTGATATTTTAACAGCTCCTCGGTTCTCCTCTTCCTCATGTTCCACTTTAGTAAGACACCATCACCTACATGAACACCACCATCACCACCATCACCATTACCATGCGGCATGATGGGAAATATCAACTACATCCAACACTGATAAAGGTGAAATTATGTGAAGGAATTATATATCCATGTTTTGTTTTGTGGATTTGAAATAATAGCTTTTGTAGGACAACAAGCAGTCTTATTAAAGGGCCTATATTGCACACAACTGACTCTTGACAGATTTAAGTTTTGAGTTTTTTTATTGTGTTTGTTTCATTCACACATGTTTGAGTAACTCTTTATTACTAGTCTGCTTACATCTCCAAAGCTCAAAATACTTTGTCCCACCTTGTGATGTCCTAGGGTGGTAGTTTTCAAGTTAAGAGCTACCTAGACTGTAAATTCCAGGGCTGAAATGATCCACATGATTCTAATGAAAGTGTATGGACTTTAAAAACAGTGGAGCACTTCCTGTATTACCACATGACATCACAATGTGGATGATCTTTGAGAGAAGAACACAGCCTAAATATGCAGGATTTGTGTGTTAAACTTGTGTGAATGATACAAAACACAACTCCAGGTATGTTTTTGATGAGGAAAGAACATTATAACAAAGATCAGAAAATAGTGTAGTATGGGCCCTTTAAAGCCAAATAGCAGACAGAAATAATTACATTAATCTCTTCTGGGGCTTAAAGGATTGTTGCCTTGTCTATTCTGTTTTAGTGCTATCCTCACAATGAAGCGGCGTGCATAGTGACAGATCCTCAACTGGAGCTTGGATGTTGTTCCTGCTTAACTCTGGGTGAAAACTGCAAATAGACACTGAACCAGGCGAGGGGCGTAAGACAGCTGCTTCTATAAATAGCCCCTTGCCTGTTACCTACCACGGGACCCATGCCTTATCACAGCATGCTTGGTCCGATGCAAGTTCAGAGCTTACAGACAGACAAAAACAAAGACGACAGTGGTGTTCTGATAGCTGCTACCGACAAAAGCTCATTGGTACAACAGGGATTGAACCCGCAACCATGAAGTCACTGCGATTCCTTGCTGCAGAGTGCTTTGTAAACTCTGGTCCTGCTGCTATGGAGAACCTCACAAGTGTGTCTTTTAACCTCTATCCACTTCTGTTTAAAGCATGCTATCTTCACGAGCAGGCCGAGTTGCTTCATGCTCTTGTCCAGACCTGGCCACTGCCTGAACTCAACCTGCAAAAACTTCTGGGAAAGACTGCAGACTGTCAAATGGACCTCACTTGCAGCACCTGCCGCCTTTGTCTAGAGGCTGTAGTAACTGGTCTCAAGGTACCTAATTAGTCATTGTGACTACAGCTTGTTTATGCATTTATATAGAAATCAAAGTGTTTAGATTAATTGTTATTTTGACTGCATTTCTTTAGGCTTATGTGCTGTGTCCTCCTAAAACATATGCAAAAGTTCTTCATAGAGTGGACCTGACAGCTTTGAGGGATGTTGAACACCAGATCTGTCCCTGCAAGTCCACTCTAGGCCGATGGGCAAGAACACTGCTCCTAACCCAAATGTGTTACGAGACATTGGTGGCGATGCAAGACAGCAGCGTATCTCACACTGCCTTTGAGACCTCCCTTGATATCCATTTTAACGGCTTTGTCACAGGTCGCAACTATGAGCCGGTAGCCCAGGCCTTGCTCCTTCTTCGCTGCTGTCCACTAAAGCTTCATTTTGATGGTTTTAGAGCTGACTCCCTTGCTCTCAAACAGCTGTTTTATGTTGTTCGACTAGCAGAGCCCGAGAATATGATTAAACTTGAAGTGGTACACAATGTTCCCCTTGAGGCCGCGCACCTGGAAGTCCTACTGTCCAGAGTAGAGTTTCCAAACATTCAGTCTTTGACTCTGCCGGCCGGAGCTTTTGACGTGAGGAGGAGTTTGGATGATGCAGAGCTATTAGACACAATCGGGAAGCTCCTGTCAAAGCTGACCAAACTAACTGAGCTGTACATGGGATTCTCTACACTCACAGGACAACTGCGCAGGCTACTGCAGTAAGTAATATCACACTTAGTAGTAATAAAAACTGTAGGTCTTATGAGGTAGAATATAATTTAAATAAAATGAGTACCTTTCTCTGCACACAATTATTGGGTAGGTGGAATAAAAATATTTAGTTTAAGTTGAATAGTTTAATGCAGTGCTATCATTTTGGATAGAGCTTTATTAACAATATAAACCTTTGTCTCTCAATTAGGGCTGCAAGATTAAAACATATCAAATCGAAAGCATAATATGAACAGACTCTTAGCAAATCAGATTTGTACAAATACAAGTGGTTAGTCATTTCAGTCATACTCTCCTTTTAAAATGTGAACTTTGAACAAAACCCTATTATAAAACATAAATCCAAAATGACTGTTAGAAAAATTGCAATTCAATATTATTTCCCAAATCATTCAGCCCTACTCACAAATACAGCAGATGTGTCCTTGTTTGCTCTGTATAACTTTAAAATGAGTTGTGATGGACATCTTCAACGACTCCCATTACATACTTGGTGTTACTTAAAATTGTTATAGTGTACAGAAGGATCAGCTTAATCCCAAACATTCATTCATTGCTGTTCAGTAGCTGCTGGTCAACACTGCATGGTATTTTGTTGTTACAGTGACTGACTCAAAGCCAACTTGAGGACAAGCAGCTGCCTCTCACCTGACTGAGGTTATGATTCAAATGCAAATACTGGACCACAAATGAACAACTTAAGCAACTTAACACTCAATTTAAAAGGTCCTATATTACAAAAAATTGACTCTTGTGAGTCTTAACTGTAGGTTTTTTTTTTGTTTCTTTCTGTTGAAGAGGTAGTTTAAGTGAACAGATACCTTTTACATTTTATTTATTAGTAATTGGCAATTCCAGGGCTGAAATGATCCAAATCATTCTGGTGAAGGTGTATGGAGTTTAAAAACACAGTGGAGCACTTCCTATCTTACCACATGCCATCACAAGGTAGATGAGTGTTTTCCGTTTGAGAGAAGAACTGCAGGGTTTGTATGTAAATATGAGTAAATGAAACAAAACACATCTCTGGGTATGTTTTTGATAAGGAAACATCAAAACAGCATAATATAGACCCTTTAAGAATTTGTAATAATATACAGTCTGTTCAATTAAAATTATTTCTATTGCTTTAACATTGTCTTTCATAATTTTCCAGCCCACTGAATACACCACTGAAGTGCTTGGAATTGGCTAACTGCAGCTTGAGCCGTGTGGACATGACTTATCTATCCAACAGTCTCCACAGTGAGAGTTTAACTCGTTTGGACATCAGCGGACATGACATCTTCATCCGTTTTGCCACATCTTTCCACAAACTTCTCAGCCGCTGTTCAAACTCTTTGGTCAGCCTTACAGTCGAAGAGTGTGGGATAGAAGATGAACACATGGGAGCTTTTATGAATGCTCTCGCATGCTGTCAAAACCTGGAGGAGCTCAAGTTCCTGGGGAACCCTCTGACAGCCACGGGTCTGAGACAGTTATTTTCTGTCCTATCTGGAGGTTTTCCAAAATTAAGGTACATAGAATTACCAATCCCTCGTGAATGCTATCCCATTGATGTCACATATCCTCTTGAAGATTCTGTTTTAATACAGTACAACAATGAGCTGTTTCAGGTAGTTAGAAGTCAGCTGATTGGGATTCTCGAAGGGGCAGGTAAAGGTGATGTGGAGGTGTGCACACCTCTTTTAGGCGCTTTTGATGCAGACATTAATGAAACCAGCAATGAGCTAGGAGTATCCATGTTAAAATCATTTAATTCGGTCATTGGGACATTTATTGGTACTGTAACCGAAGTAAACAGCCGAAGATCACAATCACATAAAAATGACTAACCTTTAGCGCTGGCCATGTGTGTGGGCACTCTGGGAAATAAATAAATGACTTATCACAGTCACAAGTGTCTAAATCAGTTTTAAGCTGCTATGTTAATGTACATAGGCTTATAAAGCTCTTTATTTATTTAATGATACCATTCCTGATGTTTTTACAGCTGGTAGCATGTTAGGAATGCTGTAAAAACAGGGTCTTGTGTTCACCCCAAGCTTTTGTTTACAATATAGTGTTGCACAACAAGTTCAACTCCAATAACACATATAACCTGTTCTGTGTGAATAAAGTATTTATTTAAATTTACATTGAATGAGCAGTTTTATAGATATTACACAAATACTACAGTGGATCATTGAGTCAAGAAAAGAAATAACATATGCAAAGTGATCTATTTTTTCATCCATTCTTCCCTCTCCTTCCTTTCACGGATGACCTCTTCCAAATATGGAGTGAGATAATTCACATCCTGGGGAGGCAAAAGTGACTTTAATATACAGTGAGTTTATAGAGAATTACGTGTCACTGTCTGCATGCACACAAACATTATTTCTGAAACTGCCAGATTTAAAAAATGTATGTAAATGGCTAAATCTGATCTCTTTCAGAGCTTTTAAGACAGCAAAATAAAACAATCAAATATTAAAAGGTTTGGATGCTTGGGTCAAAATGTAAAAATTTCTTATTCTTTTACACTTACAAATGCATTAATGAACTAACATGTGATGTTTGGATTGCAATACTTCAGATGTGATTTTTGGTGTATGTTTACTTGCACATCTATTTGGAATATCTGATTACTCAGAATGTTAATGGTCATGGATTGATGTGATTATAAACATACCTCTTCATATTTTGTCCACTGGCTCTTGGGGAGGACCTGCATCTTCATGGAGAGGTCCAAGGCTCTCTTGAGCCTGAACATCCTGTCATTGTACACATTCTCGGGCAGTCTCCGAAGAGCCTCTTTCACATCTGCATCTTCGTTCAGTGTGTCATCCCGCATTAAACCTGATAAAAGTAAATAATGAGCACCACTGAGCCTCTGAGTAGATATGTAAATGTGGTTATACATGCAACACATACCAACTTTGTTGAAGCCCGCCATGTTATAGTACCATTTTCGCACACCCATCAGGAGTCTGCCTGATGCCACTGTCAACATATTGCAACACAATTTAATAGGTGAACCACACAAACTAGCTTTTCATCAGCCACAAAGTGAAAATTACATAAAAGTCGTTTATCTTATGTAGGGGGACCAGACGATCCTATTTAACTTAGACAATGAGCCTGGTATCCCATGTTCCAACAGATATACTCAAAACCAGTGATTTGACAGCAAAAACCTCAGGTGTCCCTATTTTTGAACAATTTGGCACCTGTCAGCAGTAAAGAGGGGGACACGTAATTGTTGAAAACCATGCTTGAAAATGACCATAAGGAAAAAATTCAGTACATACTGACCCACAAGTGAGTCGAGAATGGACAATGTTGCGCCCTCTTTTTACAATTTTAGTTATATCAACTACCCCGACGTGGCTGTGTCCCAGTTTTTAATTTTTCTGGCATTGGGGCTAACGCGAATATGGGAGTTCTGTTAGCATCAGCTAGCACAGGGACACCAGAGGACATACCCAGGTTGAAAGTACAAAATCAAGTATACAAGCAAATGTGATACATAATTACTTTAAACCAATCGATATCAATCCATCTAAGGTAATATAGAGTCAGATGAGGCTTTACAACACGTCTACAACAATAAAATCCTAAAAGGACGACTAGAGTTTACCTGGTGCTCGGGACGCCATGTTGAATTGTGAAAACTGCTGCCGCGGTGGGTTGTGGGTAAGGACTCTTCAGGTCATAGACGGGAAACTGCGCAATGCTTTGAACCATGGATCTATTAAAGCAAACGCAATAATAATAATTTAATAAATTTGCGTTGTTGTATGATATGCTTCAATGTAAGGCTTGATGCAAATCAGGATATGCTGTTCAATGCATTCTTGATAACTGATGAAGAAAAAAACTTGAAGTTACTATACAAGTTAATAACCCTACCATACATGACATGACACTACAACAGACTACTCCAATTATGGAGGTATAAGCCATGACTACAGCACATAATGTATTGTGTTGAGTACAACAGTCAAGCTGACAACACACGAAGAAAGACATCATTTTGTCAAATCAAGTTTATTTTACAATTTACAGTCAATAATCTAGGTTACTATTTGTTATATTACAGAGTTTTTTGAAACAAATAGAAATCCTCTAATTTGACAGACACCAGTTCAGAACAAAAGGTCTCATCAGGTAAAGAAACCAGGTTGTCAAGGGCAATGTAATTTGGCTGTGCAGGATCATACTGAGCTTTCCCCAGATATTCAAGGAACAGATGTCGCTCCTTGACACGCAAATATTTTGTATTCAAAACCTATGAGAAATTATATTTACCATAGAAAATTACAAATACACAGACATTAGACAGATATTAAAATTAATATAGATTTCATGGTTTACCTGTGGGAACTTAACAATCAAGTGATGGGGCACCTTCATGGTATTGTGAAGTAAATCAAATATTTGGATTAGCTTCTTCTTATTTGCAGTGAGCACTTTTGGGACAGCTAGGACAATGTGCTGAATCTCATTCTTTTTAAAGCCAAGCTCTATTTCGCATACCTAAGAATGTGTACATAATACAATTACAACCAATACACTTACTTGGCTAATTTCAACAAATGTATATTTGATTCCAAGTAACAAGCAAGTATAGTCGTAGTAGTAGTAGTAGTAGTAGTAGTAGTAGTAGTAATAAAAATACCTTCAGATTTTCCTTCACAGGCTCCAAACTACCACACAACAATCGGGGTAGACGAGAAACAATATTTCTTGTCTGGAAAAGATGGTCATACTATTTACACTGTTTAAAGACATAATAAAAATTAAAAGTTTATATGATTACATTGACAACACTTAGGTTGAGCTGCTGCTGATAGAAGCCCATCCTGTTGTCCAGCCTCTTCACACTGAAGCTGAGCAGATATGGTGCTCTGGAGACCATTGATGCTATTGTCTCTAGACTGAACTTCTTAGATTTGAGGTAGTTCACCCTGCAAACGCAATCAAATATATCAAACAAATAATGCAAATATCAGTAATTAGTTAGTAATTAGACTTTAGTTAATTAGTTTTATATAAATTTAGCACATCTTACCTTGTCTCCAGGTTTTCAAAATTTTGCGTGAGAATAAATGGATTATGTGAGATGATATAGCCAAGGCGTGAGTCCTCAACCCCAATATCTTTTAAAAACAGCAGCTTTGATGCAACATCTCTATCATAATCAAGTCTCAAAAGCATAGAGCCCACATTAGGCCTTTGTTCAAGCTTCCAAAGATTGACACCTAGCAAAGAAAACGTAATCAAAAACACATGTTCATGAAGATAAAAATCTTAATAGTATCTACATTTAAATACCTAGCTGTACAAGTTTACTCAGAGTCTCAGATTTGTCAACATAGTCTTTGAGTGACGTGGATAATGGAGGCAGAGCTGTGGGAACAGAGATTGTAACAGCTTCTTCATCATCAATCTCTTCCAACGCTGAGAGCTCAACATTGGCGTCAAGATCTGGAAATTAAATCAAAAAGATTAAGACTAAAACAAATTAAATAGAAGTGAATATTTTTTGATGAGTAAATAATGTAGTCATTGTACCTATTGCCTGTTTTGGGTCCTGCAGTACACAACTTTTATTAGATACAAAATCTGTTGCTGAGGTTAATATCTGCAGATGTTTAACAGAACTGTAATGGCACATCTGTATCATTATTCCCGTTTGTTGTTCACAAGGTAATGAGGCTGTACATCCTTGCATGAGATGGGACAAATGCTGTGTGGAAATCCTGGTGCCAAGAAGATTTCTGCATCTCAGACACAACAACAAGCACCTTGGAGCCATCATGATTCTGAAATCTACGATACATAAAGACATTGTAGACGATAACAGCAACGGTCAGAAAGACAAAGCAGAGTCCAAATAGCGATTCTTAAATAATAGGAGACGTAGTAGGCTACTGGCTATAATACTAATAACTGAGTTGTTACTTAGACTTACTTAGAATAAAACCCGACACAGCATAGAAGTATTCTTGAAAATATACAAGAATCACAAAAACATATCAAATAGTAAAACGCTAAAACTTGGACAGATGCAGCAATATCAACAAAAACGTTTCACGCGCAAACCCCGGAAGAAGATGATAACTGCATTTACTCATAATAGGCGTTTACTGCACCAACTCCACCTAGTGGCCTTGATTGGCCTGGAGGAGCATTTACTATTAATATATTTTGGATTGCTGTTGTGTCTTTAGAAAAAATATTATTTTTAGAGTTCGAACAATTATTTTACATCCATGATTTGAACATATAAAGCGGTCTTTTTTAAATATTGTAGTCTAATGAATTATAGCGGTGGTTCCCCTGTAGGCTTCAGAGGTTCAGAGGCACTTCAGGAGGTCCGAGAGATTGTCAAGCACATAAATGAAAATAACATTTCCAGATTGAAATATGGGGCTGCTGCGCTCTAGACTTTGGGAAAGACTTATTATTAAAGTACTATTGGAATCATTATCAACAGTTTGCATCAGGGTAATCAGGATTATCAGTTTGTTTGTTTGTTTGTTTTTTTTTAAGGTAACCATCCGTCAATAGGCCTACTGTTCATGTTAGGATTTGATGATGTCACACACTATAAATGAATTCTCTCTTCTTCCTACTATACAGGAGAATCAAGTAGCCAGACTCAATAACATTGCCAATTTATGTGATTGTCAAATCTTAGTTTAGCTGTCATATACTTTGACCTTCAACAAGGAATCTTGAAACTTTATATTCAGCCTTTTATTGACTTTCAGGAAAGTCTGTCTGGTTAAAGTACACAGACAAGAGGCACATAAGATGCTCCCCAATCTTTTCTCAGTTTCTATAGCAACAAAAGGAGCTATAACTGTGTGAAAGGCTATTATTTTATGTGAAGTCTAAATTCACAGTATAGCAAAATGAAAAGGTTCAGGTGGCATTGTAAAATAAATATATATATATATATATATATATATATATATATATATATATATATATATATATATATATATATATATATATATATATATATATATATATAAAGACAATAAAAAGTTCACGTTCCTTACTGAACTGATAAGAAACTTTATTTATTCCTTATTTTAGGGTTAGGCTACGTTTTAAAATGTTTACATGTCTTAGATGTCAAATCTAAACACACACACACAAAAAGCGTTAGTATTATTCCAGTAGCTAACAGTATTTCTATGGTTGTGGCGGATTTCCATGGCAATGGTAGTTTATAATTTGACAGTTTGAGGCAGGTGATAAGCAATAGTAATTTCGCTGGGCACAAGACTACATTTCCCACACTTCCTCAGCGATGGGCTGCTGTGCTGGATGACAGCTATCCGGCGCCGAACACCGCCGGACCGCAGACTACTAGGGCCATCATGGCAGCCACGGGTGGAGGGAAAATTAGGAGCAGGAGATCTCACATCGCTTCTAAACCCTATGCCAAGAATAAACAGGTAAACTACAACAAAGTAGTCAAGAGGGAACCCTGTAGCCACCAAGCGCCGTTAACTGTGGCGTGACATTTGTTTAGTCTATGTTATTGTTTTCATGAAGGCAGTTGTGGCCTGCTCGTGGCCTCCACGCGTTGTTAGCATGTACGGGAAATGATGATATGTTAGCAAGTAGACTTATGAGCAACAAAATTAAAACTCGCCTGTCATGTCAGGATCGTGGTAATGAACGGGTTTTGTTGTAGTTTTACCTTAAAGTGTTATTTGGGGAGCACGACAATGTTGTCCTGTTTTTGTTCGAGGTTTGAGGAAAGCAAGGAAGTGGATTTGTAACAGTTAGCTCATGTTGCTAAAGCTAAGTAGCGCGCTAACTGCGAGCGGTGCATTGTTGTCTCAAGATCCTAACTTTCACAGCTTTGTTTTTAGAGATGTCATTATTAGTTAGCTGCATAGTCAAACTCAAAATGACAATTGGCACAAGTTGTGTATAGAATTAAGTTAAACTTGGCTAATGTCTGCTTCCTATTGCCTCTGTTAACTGCCTCATTGCTAATGTTAGCTAAATCTCAGCTGGATTGCGCAGGAATCATTGGCTCCAACCCACATGGCTCTGTGTGCGTCAGGTTGCCGCTCACATATGCACTGTGTTTACCTTTACCCATAACCTTGAATATTGCAAAACTTTATGCAGTTAGCATGTAACTTTTATATTTGTAAAACACTCCTAACGACAAAGATTATTCCAACGTTAGATTGCGTTATATATCCACAGACCATGGACCAGTGAAGTGACAGTCAGATCATAAACTTCACTTCTGCGTTTAAAAACTAGTACTCCTACTTTTACAAGTATTTTACAAGTTATATTATGGAAATACCCAAGTAAATGCAGTAAACCACCATTTATTCTGCAACAGTTAACCTTGCACCCAGGTTTTTTTTTGGGGGGGGGGTTTCAGCATAGCTAGATTAGATGTGAAATACTGAGGAATATCAATACATGGGTTTCAAAAAGATGACAAATTAAAACTGCTGCAATAGCGATCAACAATTAAAACCATAACAAAATGGTAAAAAGTGATCCAAATGCCACAGTCAGGAAGCTGAAACCCTTGCAAAATTTGAATATTTTGCCTGATATATATATATATATATATATATATATATATATATATATATATATATATATATATATAAAAATTACAAAATAATGAATTAAGTAAACAAACTTCCCATGTAATATATACTGTTATATATCTGCCCATGATTACTTTTTGTGTGATTCTTAAACCTAAACTAAGAGATTTATAGTGTTTTTTCTTATGCCCAGCACATTTATAAAATATTATCTGAATATTGTAAATGGGATCGTTTGAAAAAATAAGGCAAATCACTTGTGCAGTTACCCAGCGCACACATTGGTTTATTGTGCTCCATATGAATGTTAACAATTTAAGACACATAAACCCTGAACATCAGCTCTAAAGGAAAGGGACTATGGCAAACGAGAACTCGGGCAGATGTGGTGACGGGTTAAAGTTCAAACTTCTTCTTGGTGTAGGTGTAGTTTCCAGATAAGCAGATCGTGAGGGGCCCCTGCATGGTCTACTACTAATTGAAGGAGGACAACTTCATAACAAGGAATTGTTGATAACATTTCATTATCTCAGCCATATACAAGATGACTGACTAAAACATCTGCTGAAGTTTGAAACATGTGACTCATGTAACTGTGCCTAAGTTATGAAGATAATACAGGCATTTGCTTTAGGCAGTTTTATAACTTCCTTGACCCCTACCATGTTTACAGATTTTTTAAAACAGTTTTAAGCCCTATGCAAATATGTGCACATAGTCAACCTTAATGTTTTAGATTTCTTTTGCTTATTTTTCTAGCAACAGTACGTTAATGAACACGCATGAAATGTTAAATGCTGCAATGTAGCCTAGTCTAATAATATCCATAGATTGCCCCATTCACATGCAAAATATTGCACACTCAAACATACTCATAGTTTGTCACAAGTCTACAGACACTGGAGACCAGGTGGGTCAAGTGGCTTGCCCAAAAACACAATGGCAGTTTGTTGAGTTCGGAGGGGTAATCAAATAGATCTTGTGGAGCAGTAAGCAAACGCCACCTCTGAGCTGAGGGCTGCACACAGATGTATGAAATGGCTCACGAGTGTATCACAACTGGCAGAACAGCTGTAGGAGCATCTGTGCATACAACAGAGCAGTCAAATCTAGTCCCTGAATGAACTTGGGTCAGGACTCTTGTACACAGTTCAGTTAAAACATCTTACAAGTTCTTTAATAGAAATGTAGCATTTAAAATGCAATATACACACCTAGAATAATTGGTTAAATACAGAACTATCTATTAGCAAGTAAATTTGCTATCACACCATTGGCTATTCGAATGTCTTAGTTTGTTCTCAAACATTCCATTATTTAAATTCTTTAAAATGCATTAAAAACTAGCTTGCATTTATTGTAAATGGATCAGTATATTGGGCACTTGGGTATCTTGCTTTTGCCGTTTGTTGGTCAGACAACAGGTCTCTGCTTTCTGTTATTTGCAACATTTGGAGGACTTTTTCCCAATCAAACTATATAATATTTACTTTTTTATCACAATGGCAATGGTCTTAATTTGTCATCATTCTAAAACTTGTATCCATTACATATGATGATTGATTTAAAAAATACAAAATTGAAACAGGTCTTAATTCAATCATGTTGAGTAGGTAAAGGTTGAATAAAACGATTATTAATTTTTTCTTTTTCCTGTAGCAGCAGACAGGCTTGATCAGCCGAGTCACTGACACAGTGAAGAGCATTGTTCCAGGATGGCTGCAGAGATATTTTAACAATGAAGGAGGTTCACCAGGAGCTGCTGTACATGGAACTGAGCAGAACTGTGAGGTGACTCTTCCTCCAAATGGCAGTGAAGAGGGTCCACGTCCTCTAGATGGGCGACACTCCCCTGAGCCCAGCACCAGTTCAGCAGGTCAGTGCACTGTCAGTCAACCAGCTCCACTACAGAGCAGCTCAGGGCTCATATTACTGTCTCCTTCAGAGCCCTCGACGAGTCGTGCCTCCCTGAACTTTCAGGAGTATGTGCTCTCACGGCCTCCCCTCAGCCGCTCTCATCTCCACTTTCCCCCGATGGACGCCTCATCTCCAGCTCTTGGGACATCCACTGGCCTCTTCTCCCAGCCTTCCACCTCCTCAGCCCCTGGACCTTTTTCAACAGGCTTCTCCTTGGTCAAAGAAATCAAGGACAACCTCTCACAGCATGAGCATGAGGATGATAATATTTCCACAACTAGTGGCTTCTCATCACGGGCATCGGACAAAGGTATTAAGCAATTTCAGATGAAAAAAACAATTTTATGTATTCATCATGCTTTTGAAGAATAGGTTACTTAATAACTTTCTTTGAAATGAAAGCCAGCATTTATTTTCTCAATGTTTTACAGATGTTCCAAACTCTAAAACAGCATCAATTCCTCAGCTTTGGTCTCCTGAGACAGACCGAACAAACTCTGGTCCTCAGTCATCGCAGGCTAGTCTGAAAAAGCCGTCATTTAACCTGTCTGTCTTTGGCAACTCATCTAATGTGAGTTACAGGTTTCTTTTTAATATCTATGTGATTTGTCTATATGTATGTATGTAATCTAACGTTTCTATGATTTCCTTCTCTGTGTAGTCTACATTAAACAGCACAATCTTAAATTCAAGTCAGCTTGGAGACTCTCCATTCTATCCTGGAAAAACAACGTATGGAGGCGCAGCTGCTGTCAGAAGTGCTCGATCTCGTCCTGGGACACCTTACCAGGTCTGTGTCCTCATTGTAATTTCTGTGTTACTATAGAGTGAAATGACCTGTTTTTTGTGTAGGCCCCAGTGAGAAGACAGATAAAGGCCAAACCGGCTGGTGCTCAGCCCTGTGGTGTGACGAGTGCCACTGCACGGCGTATCCTGCAGTCTCTGGAGCGCATGTCCAGTCCTTTAGCTGTAATTACATATATTACAATACATTTTTTACAGTCTGCCATCAAGTCTTTTCAAGCCTGTAATTTTTAATTTTCTCTCTCACAGGATGCAAGGAGGATCCCATCAACAGCTGCATCTTCTCTGTCAGCAGTAAGTTCTGAAATTAATGTCCATAAGATAATGCTATTATAATTTATATTATAAAACCCATAATGACTCAATGACCAACACTGCTTTAAACTGACTTTCTGTAGTCACTGGATGGCACAAATATAGAGGCTTCCCCATTTCAAGCAAAAAAGAAACGGGTAAGTACTGACTTTGCCTTCACCTTTATCACAAATGGAATTTTTTGCTTTCTAAGTTTAGTTTAAATAATTTTTCCTGATGTGAACCACAGTAGCTTCATAGTAGTGACCTTGTAACATTTGTTATTGTGTGTCTTCCTGTCTGCTGTCTGTTGGCCTCTGTTACAGTTAACAGGATTCTCTACACATCCCACAACTGTTAACACCTGTCTTGTGTTTTTGTAGTTAGTAAATGGTTTAATTTTAAAAAAAAAGCTGTATGTTTAAATAAGTAGCAGTTTTGAAACTGATATAATTATACCACTATCTGATCCAGATGGAAAACCTCCCACCAGTGCAGAAGCTGACGGTGCCCTCAGCAGCACCTTTGTCAACAAACCGCTCGGTGTCCTTCAAGCCCAGTCTCACCCCTGGGGCAGGGAGCCGAACAATGGACAGGACCCTTAGGGACACAGTCAGTACTGCATTTTGCTCATATTTTCTGATGATTATTTTATAATTACTCTGCACAAAGCAAGTATGGTAGATATTATATTATTTTCTTCTTCTTTCTTTGTTTCAACAGCCAACAAGACAATCGTCACAACTACCAGAAATGACACCATCTTTAAGGTATTACATCTTATTTGTGCCAGTTTAATTGGATTGTTTAAGTATAGTGAAAAACTCAGTTATCATTTTCCCTCCCAAGCACATTTGGTTCTGGTGCTCAAATCTACCCCCTCTCCAGCACACCTGCAGCCAGTGCAGCGGTCTCTGGAGGGGGGAAAATGAAGAGGGAAAGGAGCACTGCACGACCCTCCTCAAAACGTCAAGATGATGATGAGGTGAGATTTCTCATGACATTTTTTTTGAAACGCACACAATTCAACCTGAACAGTTGTAATGCTTTGGATACAAACCAACATTCAACCCTGCAGCACCATTCATTGCTCTCAGAAGAGAGAGATAAAAAATCATGATCATAGAAACTTGCAGCACAGATACGGCACTTCACTGCTCCACTGCACCGGGAGCTGGGGTGCTCCCAGTGCAGTGGACTTAACATTGTTATCTTTTTTGTCTCATTAGATTGCTGAGGCACCAGACCTGCCTGCCATTTCACTTCCGATAAGCAGCTCTGCACTGCCTACCTTCACTTTCTCCTCTCCCGTGCCTCCTACAACCACCACCACATCCAGCCCCGCCCCCACCACACTGACTGGAACACCTGTCAAAGAAAGTAACAAACTTGTGAATAAGGTTTGTTAATTACATTAAAGACATTATGAAGAGTACAGTGTTGGATACTGTATGTGATTCATCTTTTCTCTTTTACAGGAATCAACCGTAGCTTCAACTCCACCCAGTGTACCATTCACATTTTCTTCACCCATTGTTAAAGCAACAGCTGCTAGTCCACCTTCCTTTTCCCCTACGGTATGCTCATACTATTGCATGAATTTATTGGGAATCTGATATATTAATAATTTGTGATTTTTAGGCTGGATTTACCTTCAGTGCACCTGTAGCAAAGTTGGGGCCCTCTATGTCAAATGGCAACCCCAGTGCACCAGTCTCAGCTTCAGGTTTGAACTTATTTACATTGTTTTTTAATTTATAATGTGAAACACCATAATCACAATGATATATTTTTTTGCAGTGAAACCAGTAACAACCAAAAGCACAGAAGAGTTTGAAGGACCCTTCAAACCAGCAAAGACCCTAAAGACAGGCAGTGTACTGGATCTACTCAAAGATCCGGGTGAGTCCTCCTTTTTTTTTTTTATTAAGGTGTAGATGTGTTGAAGTTTATTAGGTTGTCAATAATGGGCTGCTATTTGAGGGGGGGTGTTGGCTCATTAGCTTTCCTTTGCTGCTTAAAACCACAGAGCAAAGTGGTGATGATATCTCATTCATCTCACCTCTGTCTAAAAGAAGTCTAATGTAAGTCTCTTCCTGTTAGGGTGCATGTGTCTTGTTGTGCCCAGAGACTGATCCCCTTCTCTTGCTCCTGCCTCTTTAGAGCTCCAGTGTGTGGAGCAGTGGAGTCCAGCGACACCTTGACTTAAAAACTTCTAAAACAACTGTCTTGATGTATTTGCTGCATAACACGAGCTATCCTCAGTTTGTTGACAATGTAAAACATAAATTCCAGAGAGGGAATTGAGGGTATTTTATGGTGGTGGTTAGGATTCAGGTGTGGCATACCGCTATTCACAAATGAATGGAGTGGATACACTGAGGGGTTTTCAAAACCACTTCTAAACTCTGACAGTAAATCCTGCTTGTATTTCACCCTCTCTCTAGGCTTTTCTTCTCCTGTCACGCCTAAGGCATCAGCTGCAGATGTGACTTCAAAGACACCAACCCCTTCCTCAACTTCCACAAGCTCCTCTTCATCAGGACTATCAGACCTTTTCAAACCGCAGCCAGGCTGGAGCTGTGACGTCTGTTTGGTGCGGAACAAACCTACAGACATGAAATGTGTGTGCTGTTCAGCTCCTCAGCCCAACACCTCTTCTCTGAAACCCTCTGAGAGTAAACCATCTGCACCTCCCTCCACGGGCATTAACTCCTCCTCTGTAGGGTTCGGATCACTCTTCTCCAAACCAGCGGGAACCTGGGACTGTGACACATGTCTGGTTCATAATAAACCAGAGGCAGTGAAGTGTGTGGCTTGTGAAACGGCGAAGCCTGGGACTGGACTCACGTCATCTCTTACTCTTCCTTCTGCTTTCTCGGCTGTTAAAACTGTTTCCCCGAGTCCAGAGCCTGTTTCTACAGGAACAGTTGGATTTGGAGATAAGTTTAAAGCACCTGAAGGCTCATGGAAATGTGACATATGTATGGTGCAGAATAAGGCAGAGGACTCAAAGTGTGTGGCCTGCACAACGCTTAAACCTGGTAAAGTTGCCTTAACATGATCTATTCATGTGATCGTTGTTAATTCTTAAAACTAAATTTGTTTTTGTTTTTTTGTTTTTTTAATTACTGCATCAGGAGTGTCTGGAACAACCACAACAGCGCCCCCAGTGGCAATATCCTCTGCAGCGCCATCATTAACCAGTAATACTTCTGTGTTTGGCTTCGGGGACAAGTTCAAACCACCCGAAGGCTCATGGAAGTGTGACATATGTATGGTGCAGAATAAGGCGGAGGACTCAAAGTGTGTGGCCTGTACAACTCCTAAACCTGGTAATGTTGTCTTAACATGATCAATTGATGTGATCACTGTTCATTGCTCTCTGTGGAGTGTCCCCAGTGCACACTAGATTTAGTTATATTTAATTCATTTTTGGATTAGTTAATGTTCACATGCACCACTCACTGTCCCCATTGGTTGAATTATGAGCCATGTGAAACGCTCTCTGCTGACTGCATGCATGTTGCAAAAGGACAGTTGCAGCTTCCATTCCTACATTATAACCTTTGATCCAAGTGCTTTTCTGATCCAATTCCAAGCACTTTTACGCACAGACACAGTGAAAATCTCACCACTGCTTTCACGACATTGTTCACCGCTCTGTGACCACCTGTTTCAGGCTTTCTTAGAGCATTGTTTACTGCCCATTAGAATGCGGCTGTTGCTGAATACTGCCGCTAGGGCCTTTGATCAGAGTGGTCAGTACGTTCTGCCCAGTGTGAAAGCTATCTAAAACTTTATTTTTTTCCATGCGTTAGGAGCATCAGGAACAACCACAGCAGCACCTCCAGTGGCTGTTTCCTCTGCAGCACCAACATTAGCCAGTAGTACTCCTGTGTTCGGCTTTGGGGACAAGTTCAAACCACCCGAAGGCTCATGGAAATGTGACATATGTATGGTGCAGAATAAGGCAGAGGACTCAAAGTGTGTGGCCTGCACAACACCTAAACCTGGTAATGTTGTCTTAACATGATCTATTGATGTAATCACTGTATAATTCTTATGATCTAAATCTTTAATTTATTGCATCAGGAGCATCAGGAACAACCACAGCAGTGCCCCCAGTGGCTGCCTCCTCTGCAGCACCATCATTACCATCATTTGCAGACCAGTTCAAGAAGCCTGAAGGCTCATGGAAATGTGATGTTTGTTTATTGTGTAACAAAGCTGACGATGTCCAGTGTGTTGCTTGTCAGGCACCCAAACCTGGAGCCAAAGTGGAGCCCAAAGGTAACTGCTGTACATTGTGTTGTTTTGTAATACAGTAATGTAAAATTTACACTTTAAAGTAAATTGTACTGCTTTGTCTCATCTAGCCTTTGGTACATCCTTTGGCTCATCAGCAACTGAGACGAGCAGTTCCTCTCCTTTTGGTTCTTCTGGCTCCAGTGGTATTAAGTTTGGCACAACGGACAGCAGCTCAACAGGATCTGGAGGCTTCAAATTTGGAGGTTCATTCCCAGATTCTTCATCAACATCGGGTGGATTCAAATTTGGGACCTCTTTTGGAAGCTCCTCTGAAACTAAAGACACTACTGCTTCATCAGGGTTTAAATTTGGCACTTCATCTGAGGGTTTTAAATTTGGGACTTCCTCTACTGATGACAAAAAATCTGAACAACCTGCTGCCACTTCTGGGTTTAAATTTGGAAGTGGAAGTGGGATAAGTTTTGGCACTGGCTCCTCTAGCACAGAAAATGGCTCATCTAAAGGGGGCTTCACATTTGGACTGTCAAAACCTGAAGAGAAGAGTACAGACAGCACTTCTACCCCAGCTACTGTTAGTTTTGCCCCCTCTGCAGAGAAGAGTGACAGTCCAGCACCTTCAACTATAGCACTGTCAGACAGCACATCCACCATCACTAAACCAACCACAGGCTCTTTGTTTGGAGGTTTGGCAACCTCTGGGTCTGTTACTTTTGGATCATTATCAGCTGAAAAGGAGACACCTGCTTCCACATTTTCATTTGGAAAACCAGAGGAGAAAAAGGAAGGCTCCCCTGCTCCTTCAGCATTCATTTTTGGTGGTGCCAGTAAAGACCCAGTGCCTGCTCCAGCCCCGGCCTCAACTGGAGGCTTTTCCTTTGGTAAACCCTCAGCTCCTGCAGATCAACCCGCCTTCACCTTTGGCAAACCAGCAGACAAGAGTGAAGCTTCTACAACAGAGCCTTCAAAGCCAGTGTTCAGCTTTGGGCAAAGTGTTCCAGGTATTTACATCATTGTAGTCCTTATTACGATGGAGTATGGAATGCAATTTACTTTTGTATATTCTTGCAATAACTATTTTATCTATGAATATTTTTGTTTGTCAACAGATTCAACAGCTGCTCAAAAACCAGCATTTTCGTTCATGGCAAGTAATCCTACCACTAACTCCACATCCTCCTCCACCTCCACACCCACAGCCAGTCTTTTTGGAAACAGCACCGCCTCAGCTCCAGCAGCCGCTCCTTCTCCTGTCCCCAGCACCTTTGTGTTTGGTCAGCCCTCTTCCACCACTGACCCTTCTCAAACCAAAACCTTTGTCTTCGGTCAAAGTCAGGACAGTCAACCGGCCGCGCCATCGGCCCTGAACACCACCCCAGCACCTGCTCAGCCCTTTATTTTTGGTGCTTCTGCTAATACTGTTTCTGCTGCTCCCTCCTTCAACTTTGGAGGAGCAGCGCCCCCTGCTGCTGCCTCCACAGGTTTGTGTTATTTTATCAAGGACATTTCATTGTTTGATATCATATGACACTTATATATATTTTCATCTTTGTTTTCTCAAATTAAGCTCCCTCAGCTGCCCCATCACCGTTTGTCTTCAATTCAGCCTCTTCTGGAAGTTTTGGGGCCAATCAGACCCCCTCTTTTGGTTCTTCATTTGGATCCCCATTCCCAGCACAGTCTTCTCAACCTCCAGCCTTTGGGGCAAACACCAATACAGCGCCTGTGTTTGGACAGACCAACTCTGCACCCGTTTTTGGTGCTGCTGCTAATTCCA